GCGACTGGCCCTCAATTTTATTCCATTTTTGGAGGATGCCCTTCTACTTAATTAATAGGTCTCAATAAAAATAATGTTTTATGTCTATCTTACTTAGTTCAAAAATGTATGCTTCTTTTATAATAAAAATTTCAAGGAAAGTATAATATCCAAAATGGAGGCATCTTTCTTGATACTCTGAAAAATGAATATAGGTACTTTTGTTGTCTACTGTCCCCTAATATTGTGAAGTTATTTTATTTTTTTCTTTTACATTTCTCTCTTCAAACGACAACGCAGCAGCATTCAAGAAACAGATATATCCAAGTTTTCTATTTGAAAGACGAGGTTTTTGAATTTCTTGCCCTTGTGGCAATTTCTTTATGATGACCAGCAAGGTAACGAAGTACCTGTATATAATGGTCATGATCTCTTTAGCCCTGAAGTTAAATTGTCTCCAACCGTGCCCTTCGGCACAAATTACTCGATCGCGTTATCTTCGGTAATTCCGGAAGTTTTCCGACATTTTCTTGTTTACGTTACACCCCTACTAAAATTTCCGCTTCGGGAATGCTACTGTTTGTTAACGTTTCTTGACGGTTTTTCACTTAGATTTGTTTATCTTCCATACAAAATGAATTTTGATATCTTATAGAAATCATTACGATATTTAGGTCCATTCCATTCTATATGAAGGTATGTGTAAGATGCATGTGTTCTCAAGTTAATATTGTATGCAAACTTTACCAGTCACATGATTACTTTCCGAAATAGATGTAATTAACTTTGCTATACTGATATTTAAATGCATTCAATTTCGTGGCAGACAGTTTTATTCGCGTGAAACATCGATAATTCAATACGAGAGTTGAAGTATCAGTTGATATTTTAATATCAATCCTGTGCAATCCCATCTCGGGGTATCTGGGGCTAGTGATATTTTTAAACAATAGACGATATTACTTCTAGAAAGATAGAATTTTTCTATCATAACAGATGTAAATGAGAAAGAGATAAATGCTATATATAAAATGCCTGAACAAAGACAGAAGTATTGATTTAGTTTTGTTTTATCTATATCATCATTACAATTTTGTAACAAATATCACGAGCGGCTGTAAAAAAATGTATTTTCCGTGACTCACTAATTCTAAAGTAAATATTGTTGGTTGCATCCAATTTAACACATCACAAGATTTTTTCAGGTGAACCTGTTTTGAAGTCTCGCGTAAATAGTAATATGTAGTTGTCTTTTAAAAACCTCCCTGGCCGGGTGATTCGCTAACCGGTTTCAAGAGATCGTCATAACAGAAGTGCTAGGTTAAAATCCCACTAAGTAGAAATAGTAAATGAACTCTCCTGTGCCTTGTGATGCCTACTTTGTTTCGGATTACATTATTGTTATCAGAATATTGTTTTTCATAAATTTTGCTATCCGGCTCTTGCGAAATCGCAAATCGAACGCGCATACTGCTACGCCATTAAGCTGCTCGAATTTTGCTATGTTAATAATAAAAAAAAAACTGTCGCCTCAGACTGGTATTGTGTATGGTTTTATTTGCGTGTCTCATCGATAATACGAGAGCCTTCGATTTTGTTGACGTAGTAATTAATAATTCAATAGTGCATTGACGTTCGTTGGTCACTTGCCTGTATTATGTTGAGCACGTTCCGTGGCCAGTTGCAATCTGCACACGTTCTTAAACAAATGAGCGTCTGAGTGGTTTGTTGTCGTTTCGTTGTCTCACTTTTGTATTTGCCAGGTGCCAGATGTGACGTATAACTCTATAACATGACACCTGAAGGGCTATTCTGTTTGTCTTCGAACGAAAATTCAGAAAATTCCGAATCTTTCTTATAATTTTGTTAAAATTATGCCCGTGAAGATTATCAGTGCAAATAAATTATCGAAAAATTGATTGGCTTTGGATTCGCATTACCATTTCGAAAGAAGTCGAAATTTCATTATCATAGAAATAGAATAGGCTTTAATAGAATAGTGTTGCGTTAATTCGTACGAGTGGTACTTTTGAATACGTATAGACAGACAATTATAGACTATTTGGGTCGTCTTGAAAATTTTGCAGGAAGTGGCCGCCGATTTGAAATACTTTGCCGTTACACCAAATCATAATGTGGTCATGCTATGTCACAAATCATCCTATAACAAGCACGAAACAAATGATACAGTCTCCTGTACCCATTAACACCGGAGTAACCGCGTGCTATACCCGTATAATATACGTTCACAATAAACGGTTTCGTTTCGTTAAATACACAGTACGAGTAGACACCCAATAGGTCATTCAGGCATTGACTAAACCGGACTGTTTTATGTTTATTTACTGAATAGGAATCAATCAGTGAATTTCAAGATTCAATCATCGATAATAATTACGATTAATTGTTTAAAAAACCAAAACCAAACTGACAGTTATTTGTTGTGATGAATTACTCTACTGTCACAATTAATAATGATACACATTCAATCCCTTCTTATTGATGAATTTGCGCAATGTATATCACTCACGCGAAAAGAGAGATATATATCTTTTAGCTTGAAGATATATCTTATATATCTCGCTCAGTTCGAAAGAGTTCGAATATTCTATTGAACAACATAAAGCAAAGCGGTTGAAAGTGAAACGTACGCAGTTTATTGCTTTAATTCTTAATTCTTTTGTTTCATACACAAGTATCCAACGTATAGTCTCTGCCAAACCTCTAGATTTCTCTGAAGTTGTTTCGAACATAGGCGCAGTAAGAAAGTAAACTTTATCTTTATGTGCATAAAATACCGTATCCCTACGCGACATAACTTTAGAGCGAACTAGAAGTTACGTTTTGTAAGGACTATTTCATTCACTCGCAGTTATTGTATTACGAAGATATAAAGATATATTTCAAACATAGGCCAGCAAATAATACATTATCTCACTTGAGACCAATGTTACTTTTATATCACTCGCTCGCGAGCTACTAAAGTCTATTGATAATCTAATATCAATGCTCATGATGTTTAAATCCATACACGAGTAACGTAGGCTAACGGGATTGACCTTATTACGTCTTTGTTATTTAAGTAAATAAAGTTTTTATCTTTTCCTGTGCTCTTATTATGAGGTGTTATTTAATTAGAGGCTTATATAATTAAACACATAGTTCTGTGATAGCATTTTATGTAACATATTTTCTTTGTTATTATCTTGTTAGGAAATTTCTTTTCTAGAGCCATTGTACAAACAAAAAAATAAAATAATAAGGATCTTAAAAATTGTTCCCTTTGTTCATTACAAAATTTGACACAATGTTGTCAGTCTACTCTCTACACTAAAGTATAAAAATTTTCTTTTCTTAACCACAAATGGACAGTGCCGGATTAAGAACCGTTGAGTGGGATTAAAGTAGCCTATAATGATGATTCAGAGGAGTGAGTTAAATGATAATGTCTTGTAAACGAAATGTTTTGCGAATGTAAATTTGTAGATATAATGTCTGGCGAATGTATTTTTTGCGAATACAATATTATTAAAACAGATGTTCTTTATAATTGTAGATATAATATTTTGCGATTGTAATATTTTTTGAATGTAATAGATTGCGAATGTAATATTGTGATTACGCAGGTGTATGTATCACTGTAGATATCATGTTTTGGAAATGTAATGCTTTGCGAATGTAACAGAATGTTATATTATGAGAATGAAGGTAAGAATCCGGAAGAAGTCCGTATACCAAATTTCATCGAAATTCATTTGGTAGTTTTTATGAAACGGCAACAAACATCCATCCGTTCTCGGAAACTTTCGCATTTATAATATAAGTAGTATTGTTACAAATATTCCTCCGAATAAACTGATAACAATATTATAAATTGTCACCGGTTAGTTAGAATCCAACCTCGAGCAGCTGTGATGACACGATTAAGTTTTTAAGTAATTTTTCCATACGATAAATCAATATGTCAGTAAATTTATCTTTATATATTTTTTTTTATAAAGGGCTCTTTATTAAAGTCATAGCAATCGAAACTTTCCGAAGTACAATTTTACATTTTAGTTCCATCATCTGTTCGTAGTATTTATTGCCTTTAATTTTTTTTTATATATTTTTACTTAATTTCATTTATTTATCTATGAATAAGGCAACCTTTAAATTTGAATTGATTAGATTAAATTTTGACGTGTTCGTTTTGATAAGTTGAAGGTCGTAAGAATAAAAGAAAGTTAATTATCCGTTGTAAAATAATGGAATTTTATATAACCTCACTCTTGTGCTACTAAAAATTCATAATATTCAAGTATTTTTTAACTTAATCAAGAGCTTTTTTCATATTTTAAGAATGACGCAAAGTATAAATGAAGTTTTGATATTTTTTTTTTAAATAAATATTTGCACTGATTTATCATTGTTTTTTTTTAGTTATAATTAGTTTTCATTATGCTTGTCACCTCTACACAAGGCGATTGACCGAGAAACCGTTTTTATTTATAGGTATATTTTTTCTACATATTTTAGTTGAAGTGTTTGATAAATATTAGGTGTTGCTTTTATCTGAGTGTCAGATAACATTATCTATTAAATTCTTTTCTTATAGTCGCTTAACCGTGTTGTATTAATCCATTTATACCTAGTCTTTTAACTTATTTATGTAACTTAGTTCTTTGCTATGATTACAAAAATGTTTTTATTAAAAAATACCTTAATACAAATATCTTATTTGCTAATAAATATGGTATTGTGTAAGTTTACCTAACATGTTTGGCCCAAAGACTTCGTATAACTAATAAACAGTTCAGGCAAACTGTTCAGAATGGACACCGTGGCACAGTGCGAGCGCACGCCGCGCGGTCGTCGCATGCGTGTATACAACGTAATATGTAGGTTTCGTTAAACAAGTATTATTTCTATAATTAATCAAGTACACATGTACTGGCTATATCAGAGAAGTCATGCCTACGTGACTGAACTATTACATAACACATACTCCGCAAATCTGACGTCACATTGTCTTGTTCCAGTTGCCTGCTGCAGCGAGATTCCTTGATGGTTATGGGGCAGCAGTGGACTACGATACAAACAAGCAGAACAACTGAAGATTTTAGTGCTTAACGTCATGCCGAACACCTCTCTGAAAATTTAAATAGAGAACGTACACAAAACATTAGAAGAAACCAAAAATTTTAACGGCATAACGTCACATTGCTCCCAATTGTAGTGTTGTGCAAATAGATGTGAAGCTTCGCGAACGATAACACTCCACTATCGCGTTCCTTAACTAAATCCATTGCGTCTGTTTTCGTTAACCGATAGCGCAGTTGACAGGTAGTGCTGATTTGATAGTATCGTTCGGGTGGGAGGTCGCGAGTGTGCCACGGCCGATATTAATGTTTAGAAACATTGTCACAGTAATATCGTGTTTTGAACCGTTCCCGGCTACGTTGTGTAGTGTGATATATATGAACATTTTGCGTGTGTGCTGAAAATGCGGTCGGAGGAGTTGTGGTGCAGCTTGGCTGCTTTAGGCTGGATCACTTTGGTCAGATGCCACGCGCCCGGCAGTGAATTAGAGTCTGTACGATATGGACCCAGTGAGGGGCATCCCTTTGACACTTTCACTGTGGCAAACATCAATATAACATACGAAGACGAACACGGGCGTATGTACTCTGACATATCTCAGGTTAGTGCCATTTTATTAATTATAAGAAGTTGTTTTTTTTTACGTTAGCCATTAGTAGTTATTAAACAGATCGAAGCCCTGGTTGATTGCTTAAAACATACATGTATCAACAAAAAAACACTTCGTTATCTTGTTATATAATCTATTTTTCATACTTTCTATATCCTCAAAATGTTTAAATCATTTAAGTTTATAGTAACATAAGTAGTAGTCGTTTAAGAAGGCCACTCTTAAAGAACTAGTACTCAAAATCCATAGGTTTTGACGTAGGTAAATGACCTGTTATTAAAGTTATTTAGTTGAATAATTATCACTTGGGATTTCAAAAATAGGAGACACTAAAATAGTGTTAATTTCCATGAATAAATTGGCTTCGAGCGATAAATATAACTATAATTGTAGTTGTTCTCGTGATGCTGTTTTTGTTGGAGGTATTATAACTTTTTTCATTAGGCTTTGTTTTGATGTTTCCTTAGTGGTTTTACTTTAAATTAGTCAATGTTTGTTGATTAAATATTGATAAGTCAATAGGAAATGATAATTTAATTACCATTTTAGTGATATGGACGACGAATTGTGACTTCAATATTTTTATGCCATGTTTGTATACATATATAGAAAAAAAACTGTCGTATGGAAAGTTGCATATCAGTGAATATAGGCGTTATCCATCTGCCTGTCAATAATAGCAATGCGAGATGCGACATCATCAGAAATAGGGATGACGACTAAGTTTTAGAATATAAAATAGGTACGTACTTTTTTTTGCGTAATCAATAAATATCGGCGATATATTGAGTTGAAATGACATATGGATCAATTTTTTTTTATTAAGAATTATTTTCAATGCAGCATTGTGAATGCAATTTGATAAAATACAATAATGTCACGTGACGTTCATTCTTTTGTGCGTTTTCTACAAAACTGTGACGTAGCAGCCCCCACTCCTCGACTTTAATGCCGGTCATCTAAGCCATTTCTTGTTTAAATTGAAACAAAAAAAAAATACGTATCTATTATTATTTAACAGACTCAATAGAATTTCTTTATTTTACCCAGTCGTACAAAAGCGAGTGAAAAGTCGAATACAGCCAGATTACGAACTTTAATATCGATAATTCGATATAAAATCAATTCGAGGGATAATAATGACAATCATTTGATGAATAACATTATGTTTATACAAATAATAACGTTAAAGCGTTTAAAGCGTTGCGGAATGAGCACAAGTTGCTGTAACCAACTGTTGTTTTTCTATAATACATGTGTAACATATGGCATTAATCACTTATGTATTTATGTCGTGTGCCAACATATGGCCGCCCCTGCCACGATACATGTGATTATTTCTTAACATTCATTTTATACACTATGTACCTAACTAATTAAATATAATTATGGAGTACTTAGTTAAATTTCATTTCTATCTCTATCTAGAGTATTGGTTAGTGAATGCAATCGGGAATGAATGCGGGCGAGATCTAGTGAGTTTATGAATATCAATATCAATACCGAGATTGGCACTTTTGTGTGTTTGTTTACTCACAATAAATTAATTAAATCACAATATTCGAATAAAAAAGGAAACAATATAGGAATCATAGGTACAATGAAATAAACATTTATTTTTACGGGTATTTTCAATAAAGTTTTTTATGTGTTTAACATTGTTTGGTGTTATTATATTTTTTATCTAAAACCTTTAAAGAGCAATTCCTGTATTATAATCTCGGAAACGGCTCCAACAGTTTTCATTAAGTATGTAGGGGCTTTCAGAAGCGATAAATCGATTAAATCAGGTTTAATTTGTTTTATTTTATAATAATGCCGAGTTAAGCTTATTGTTAGTCATCCAGGTACTAATCTTTTAAGAAACTAAACTTTGACGTATCTCTGTTAATATCAAACAAAAGTTTAATTATAATACACAGTTTTTTATAACAAAAGTAACAATAATACAAAAATTCATGAAACTCTCTAACTAGGTCGAATTGACTATTAAACTGAGTTTATTATCAATTAAATAATAATATGTGTACCTATAAATTAACATAATCAATTTAAAGGTTTAAGAAGCACAAAATGTATAGATGACCATGAAGGTAGCTATTTTTGACATTTAAAAATCCTCCTTTGTTTGATTGTTTATCTTAGTTTTTGTTTTGTTTATATATTTTTTTGCTCTATCTGCACCTGGATCTTGTGAATAAATCAATATTATTATTATGATTTGGCGATAAATGATAATTTCACTGTCTTTCATGATGATAATATACTTTTATGAGCAGACTAGCTGTTTTCTCGCGACTACCACCGCGTAAATTATAGCCAATGTTTAAAAATGAAAATGTTTAAAACCAATTCAGTAATTTTCTTTCTCCTCAAAAAAAAGAAATGCATTATTTCAAAATATTTTTTACATATTTTAAAGTAATGTAAGTAATGTATATTTTTCAGAATGTTTATAAGAGAGAATATAATATATTATGTATGCTATGTATATATATGTATGTTTCTTTATATTAAAAAAAAAACTTATTTCTATATAAATTGACTAAGGAACACCTTATTTGTTATCATGGACGTTTATAGGAATTATTTATCGAAAAAAAATAAAAGTTTTTCAGCTCTGAAGAACAATTTTGGTTTTGCGGGTTACTATGTGTATGCTTTCTAATGTCGATATGTATGTTTTTACGTTCTTTTAGGAAATAGATATACAGCACACTCTCTTTCCCTCCTCCATCCTCCAAAGTGCTGTAGATAAGCATGAACTGTGTAACATATTCTATATTACCAAGGTCTTAATTAGACTAACAGTGCTATTAAAAACAAGGTTTAGCATCAGAATATCTTTACCAATAAAACCAGAATAAATTTACGCTAAAATTGCAATTTTAGTATAAGTCCAAATTCATATTATACAGAGAATAACCAAACCTACTAACTTCTAGGAGTATGTATATAATACTCCCGTAGAATCTCGTACTAGGTTAACTATTGTTAAGTTTAAAATGGATTATTGTCTTATATTAAGTGCAGTCTTAGCGTTTTAATTTACTCTAACGCTAAACCTTGTTTATTAATAAGACTGTAAATGTTGTTAGAAACGTTCTCAAGGAACAGACTTTCCGGGTTTTTGAGGAAAACTTTAGATGCGATTGTAAAAGATAAAAGCAAATTGGCTTCAATAAAAAGTTCCGTTTGAAATCGACTGATTTAAATTTTTTTAAAAGATACCCATTTATTTTCAATAGGTAAATGTATGAAATAATACGCGATCAAAATTACACCTAGTAACAAAGAATGAATGTTTGTTAAGGCTGGATTTTGACTTCGTGACCTCCCTAAGTAAGGTTAAGCTAAGTCGTATTCTGGGTTCACTTTCCGGCCTGGAAGGCATTATTTGTAGTATGTTTAAAGTACAATTTGCTATTTATGAAATTCAACGGAAATGCGACAATATATATTTAAATAATATACAGTTTTTGTTCTTTCCACTTTTTTAATTACGACAAATGTAACAAGCATTTAATTTTCTTAAAAACATCTAATGGACAAGTTTATTGCGCGGAATTATAAGAAACAAGTTTTGGATTAAGTTAGTTCAATAACTTCTACAATGTACAATAACAACTTCAGGATCGTATTGTTTTTATCATAGTTTGATACCGATATTGGAAGTGTTGGTAATAGGCTCTTTTTACGGCGTCAGTGATTGGTGTTTCCTTCTTTATCAAGAGGTTTGGTCACAAAAATAGTGCAGATTATTTTTGAGTTCTAGTTACAATAGGGTAAGGATGCCATATTTGATAGTGTATTTAATGAACACTATCAAATGTTGACTAAAGCATCTGGTGGTAAAAAGTGGCTACGTGGGTTTATGAGCAGACATCCTGATTTATCAGTTAGAACGCCTGAAGCCCTAAAGAACCTAATATGAAATACTGTCTCATATTAGCAACCCTCAGTATCTCATAATAGGAGACCATTTGCCTGAGACGTAATTTCTGAACTTTTAATATTTTTTGATATAATAAAAAATGTATTATACTCAGAACTAAACGGTCTCTCATAAATAAACTTCATTAAATACACTATCAAATATTGCGATTTTCATAATGATTAGTGCAATAATTTATGTTTTATAGCCAAAAATAAAAATGGTATCTCATATTCGGCATCCTTACCCTATAATGGAGATTATTATTGCTTAAAAAATGTTGACAATAAATTACATTCTAATTACAAATTAATTGTTATTGCATTACAAATTAAATATTAGATGATATTTTTGTTTGATAATTAAATTGTTTAAATAAAACTGTTAGCGAGTAAATTTGGACTCCAGTTTTTTTGTCTTTAGCTCTGGTGATCCAGTCTTACCGACTTCACTTTTATTTTTTTTCAGTAATATAGATTTATCTTTGTGTAAAAAATGTAAAAGTGAAATAATTATATTCTTTATCGACAATCTCACGATCCATGTGATGTTATTTTACATTGCTTAATATTAAAAGATAACATATACTATTATTGGAACGATAACGTGTTTTGATGTTTGAGTTATCTGTCGTATTTGACTTACAGCTCACTGTATGCTTCTAGAAGTATATTGTAAAGGCATGTATCCATATTAAGGGGCAGGCTCGTGTTGTGGAGAAATGTTAGCTTCGCGTGGCTACTTTTTGGCTGCTGCTCAAACGAACAGTCAGTGCATGCTATAGTTATAGAATAAATTAATTTATAGTATCTGACACCCCATTCACTCAGGGTCTTTAAGGGTCAATTTGACTAAATCTTAGAGAACGGTATGGTGTTTTTCCATTGCTCTATTTTATCTGCCGATTAGAATCGTTTTTTGTTAGAACGAGAAAGATATGTTGCATATCGTTTCTTTTTCTTCAATTTTCTTGCTCTAGCACTAAAATTATTGCTTTTATTTCATAAACAGCAAATTGTACTTTAAACATACTACAAATAATGCCTTCCAAGCTGAA